ATTTTGTAATGTCGGATAGCATCAGATCAGGACACTCATATTTTTTATAGTTTATTTCAAACTAAGTACATGTAATTTTGTCGTTATATTAATTACAACATGTTATTTTAATGTAAACCAAATTAAACGAGATAAAAATGCATAAGTTTTTATAAACATTGTTTAATTATGATGGTTAGGAGTAACTTTATTTAAAACAATTAAGTTTAACAACCAATTTATTAGATGGTTGAGCTCATAAAATTTAACTAACAATTTATTACAAGGTTTTGCTCAAAATAGTGCATTAAGAACAAAAGATGCGTTGCGATTGTGATAGTGATTATTGTGTACGTGGACTGTACGCGACGTGTGCTTGCGTCGGATAGATGTGCACACCCCATCAAAACGTGGCAAGGCGTCGGGTAGCATCGGGTAGCGTCGCATGGCGTAGCATCGGACAGTGTGTTCCTGGCTTAATCCACCGCCACACCGCAAATCTCACGACTTATAGAAGGAGACATGATTTCCCCAAAATAATCCAGACCTATCGCTGAAGATGTAGAAATGCCGAAACGTATCTCTCTGAACTGAGAAGAAAAGGTAAAAGTTCCAGACTACTCCTGGCTCATTCAGAAAGTGGCCAAGTGTTAAGCAATAAAAGTAAAAGAAATGTTGCTTATAAAAGTTGTCAGGAACTAAAAAATGAACGGACCTGGCCACAGTGTAGATTATTTTAAAGATCATTTTACATAGATATGCTAACTTTTTTTGGGCGGGATATGCATCTTGGCTCTTTTTCACGGTTAGGCTTCACGATTGGGATATAATGTACATCCTGCTCAAGCTTTTTAAATCGTTGAGACAATTTTAACAAAAAAAAAAAATCTAAGATACTAGTTTCCAAAAAATATAATTTTTAAATATTATAAATCACCATTTTTGTATATAATATATTATTACAATCTTGATAAATTGAAATTTGTGAAACCAATATGAATTTAGGAAGAACTCTTTTGACTTTTCTATTTGGCAAACATCAATTTACTTACTCAGGTTCAACTTTACATTATCAACTCTGTTGACCCTGGGGCTGTGTTCAAGTCCCTTTGTTCCCTATCTTTCTTATTGTAGTTTCGAGTTTTGGTTTGATCTCCGATCGAAATTATCTCAAATAATTAGTGATTTGCGTTCAATTATAATTACATATTAAAAAGTTCACGGATCAGCACAGAACAATCACTCGTCAAAGTTTTCAAGGATTTATCCCACTCATTAATGTTTAGAACCTTTAATAATGTTATCCAATAAGCAACAGAGGATTATCTACAAAGGAAATAAGTATGGTCTTTCTAATTGGCCTCGCCATTATTCGATTTTTAATAAATAATTTTTGTTAAATTTTAAAATATTATGAGATAATCGTTAAACCGAAGATCTTAAAAATATAATGGTTTTTTTAATGATTAAAAATGATCAGGTTCAAGAAGTTTTTATAAGTTCTTTTATTAATTTTTCTTAGTTGTGTTAAACGTCGTTTAAGATTGTTTCCTGAAGAGTTTTGAAGTCTGTGCTAATTTTAGAACAAAGTATTGTTCAGTGAAGAATTTTATATAGACTTTTTGACGGTGAGGATGGCTGGAAATGATAGTGAAAAATGATGGACGTTCTTTCCGATAAGAAGTAAGAGCCTCACCAAACCAGGTTTTTTTTTACTTCTTGAAAGTTTAAGCCAAGTTATTGAACTTTAGAAGTCTAGATTAACATCTAGCTAAAAGACATAAACATTTACTGTGTAATAGTGTAGGTTTTAATATTTTCTTGAACATCTACGTAATAAAACGAGCCAAACTGACTTCATACATTTTGATTTTACTTAAATGTTTGTTAAAATTTATTATGAAGAAAATTATTTAGTTTTCGTGGTCCGCTTGACCAATTAATATCTTTCAATTAATTAAGATTTTAGCTGAGATAAAAAAGGCAATGACACGAGCGGGATTCGAACCCACGACTGCGGCTAGATACGCCGCTACTCTACCACCTGAGCTATCGTGACTCGGATCCACTCGGACACCAACTTCCCATCTCAGCCCCACCTTTCGAAAAATGGCAAAAAGGAGGGAAAATTCAAAAGGGGTATCTAGCCGAAGGTCGTGTGTTCGAATCCCGCTCGTGACATTCACTTTTTATCTCAACAAAAAACCTTAATTCAAAGATTATTTAGTTGTCTAAATTTACAGTTACAGTGTAGCAGTATTTAATAAATTAATTCTATTCTAATCTAATTAAGTTCTAGGATCGTAAAATAAACTCTACACTTGTAAACAAATATAATCAAAAATATAAGAACCGTATTGTTCAACTATAATATTGCTATAGTCCATGTAATATTCTAATTCCGTCCTTCGAAAAATTCTCAGGTTTTTGAGCTATGAATTCCTAGATGCGTTTTTTTTTTTTTTTTTTTTTTTTTAGCAGGTTATATATAGCATAGGTTATATCAATTCGAATGCAGGGCCGCTGGATTCGAACCCTGGACCTTTACCTTACAGTGATGAGCGCCGTGTCAACGACTAAACCGTTGCGGCCACCTACGCCCCTCTGGCTATTCATTTTCGAAATTTTATATCTGATTTAATCAACATAATTTTTGGAACTTGATCTGTAATCCTATATCCCCTACATAGTTTCGTTCGCAACACATATTAAATAAATAACTTATGTTCCATCGTATTCAGATATACATTTTTTTAAAATTAGAAATGAAATAAATCCAACCCAAACCAAATATTGCGATTTGTGTGTTTATTTAACTAACCAATAATAAGATTTTAGAGTTTTATATTAAACAACTGGAAATTTAGAAATAGTATTGTAAATGGCAACATACAAAAGTAGTAATTTACTTAAAAATGTTAAACATAAACGCTAAGGTGTAGAATATAGCTAAATATTCTCTCTGTAGAAAATAATAAAATGCTATTTTGTTAGGGGAAAGAGGATCACTAAACTAGTGAAAGGTTTGACCGATTAAGACGAATAGCTTTTGAACACTTTGTACTCTAATAGAAAAAGGGTTGCGAAAAACAAATATTACATTATATAAATTGAATAAGTCGAACCTTTCCTAAGTTAACTACAGAAAGAAAATTCCACGACGAAATGATGAATGGTTTTTCTCTTGTCCGGCGCGTTTAACGGACCGTAACCGTCCTGGAAAAGAATTACGAAAGGAGACAAAGAAAGAAATTGGACTACCTGACACGGACACTTGCGACTACATCCCCAAAGGGCATGTTCGCCCTTTTCCCGTACAAGAACAGCGCAGTGTTGGGAAAATTGCCAGTCGACATGGCGTGAAACCGACATCAACCGCTTACTTTTTCAATTTGAACATTCAAGTTGGCGTCAGTGAAGGAATCACGGCAACTTTTATTTCCCTTATCGACAGTCGCAAATATTCAACTTCTAATAAGTTTAGATTTTACGAAATTAAAATTATTTTGCCCACTTTTGAATACGAATAACAAATTAATAGCAAAATTTCCTAATCATTTCTTGTTGAATGAGCAAACCACTATATAGCAAAATAGTAAAAATGAGAGAGAGAAACATCGAGAGACAAATGGAAAGACGATATAAGGCAGAAGGCTATCATGTCAAGTCGAAGAAATTGAGAAAATAGAAAAGAGAGAGAGATGAATGAATTAATTGATTGTTGCGGGGTTTTTTTTAGAAACGCAGAATTCGCTCAAATATTTATTATTATTAATGGAAAGAGAGAGAGAGAGAAATAGAGAGAGAGAGAGAGAGAGAGAGAGAGAGAGAGAAAGTGAGTGAGAGATATGAATTAATTAATTGATTAATATGGGTTATTAATATTAGGTAGAAAAACCAGAGAAAATGAGAGAGATGGAAGTGAGAGAGGGAGATAAATAAATTAATTAATTGTTGCGTGTTTTTTAGAGAAGCAGAATTTGGTCAAATTCCACTCATATGTAGTGGGAGAGAGAGAAAGAGCGAGGGAGAAATTAGAATGAGAGAGAGAATGAGAGAACAAATTAATTGACTATTGCGGTTTTATATAGAGTCGCAAAATGTGGTCAAATATTTACCCCTCATACAAAGTGAGAGAGCGAGAGAGAGGGAGATAGAAGGTACAGAGTGAGAAAAAAAGAGAGAGTGATGAATGAATTACTTAATTGATTGTTGCAAGGGTTTTTTTTTGAGAATCATTATTTGGTCAAATGTGTGGTGTTTAGTGACCACGATCTCCGAATAATCATTTGGTCAAATATTTACCACTCATATGTAGTGAGAGTGAGAGAGAGAGAGAGAGAGAGAGAGAGAAAGAGAGATATGAATGAATTAATTGATTAATGTGGTTTTATTTAGTGCTTAAGAATTTGGACAAATATTTACCACTCACACTTAGTGTGAGGAAGAGAGAGGAGGGTAGGAGAGAGGAACGAAAAGAAGAAGAGACAGGACACACTTAGACAAAATGACATATAGGCTGACCTGCAAACATAGATAAACTGAGGAATAGGAAGACAAACATAGACAGACTAGCAGATACCGAGAGAGTGTCATCAGTATTATTATCTTCAAAACATGTAGTCTTATTTCGGTCCAATGATAATTCATTGGTTGTTTCTGTGTCACGGGCCAGGGAGTCCCTGGAGAACAAGGAGACTCCTTAAGGTCGGGGAACCCCCTGCAAAAGGAAGGGACTCGGAAAGATTTGGGCGAATGAACGCAGGTGCGCTCAAGCCGTCCTGAAGGTAGAATCTTCTACTTTCTCATTAAGAATGAGAAAAATATCTGTGTAAATAATATTAGTAGGACTTATTCGGGCACTGTTGTAAATTTGAAAGATTATATTTATTTCATTTCATTTTTGTGATCGTTTTCATCACGGGAATCATGTTCCATGGGAGAAAGGGTGACAACTATCGTACTCGCTTTATGACTATGATATGATTTATGGCTCGTATTAATTTTTTTTTCTTGTGCAGGTATAGCCGATGGGTGACAAAGAGAGTGGCGATTATAACCATTGCTTGCATCTGGCTGCTGGCGGGTCTGATATCCTTCGTCCCGATTTCTCTGGGCCTTCACCGCCCTCCTCAGCCTCTTGTCTACCATTCCGGGGACGCAGAGTACCCGACCTGCGCCCTCGACTTGACGCCGACATACGCAGTCGTCTCATCCTGCATCAGCTTCTACGTCCCCTGCATCGTGATGCTGGGGATTTACGCCCGGCTCTACTGCTACGCGCAGAAACATGTGAAGAACATTAAGGCTGTGACACGACCTCTCACATCACCCTCCCTGCCACCGATGCACCACGTCTCATCATCCCCGTACCACGTATCGGATCATAAAGCTGCCATAACGGTTGGCGTGATCATGGGCACTTTCCTACTCTGCTGGGTCCCTTTCTTCTGCGTCAACATCATCGCGGCTTTCTGCAAGACCTGCATACCGGGCATGGCTTTCAAAATCCTGACATGGCTGGGCTACTCCAACTCGGCCTTCAACCCGATCATTTATTCGATATTCAACACGGAGTTCCGAGAGGCTTTCCGACGGATCCTCACCGCCCACTACCCGCCCTGCTGTTGCCGGGGCTACTCATCGGTAGTCCTCAGCCTCTCCGACACAAAACCGAGGCAGGACGTCAAGCAGAACGGCCGCAAGGATTTCCAGACGCCGAGATCATCCGTAGGCTCAATACGGCAAATCAGAGTCAATTCTACCGAAAAAGTCATGTTCGACAATGAAGAAATTTCAGCTATATGACTTGATATCCACAGCTGAGAAAAAGATACTGAGCTGTAGAAGGTCGAAATAACAATAAATCGGTTTGTTCCACAATGACTTTAGAGGTGAAGACACAAACATTTACAACAATTACAATAATTCAATCAAACACATTAGAATCCTCTCAATCCTATTATTTACCCAATCAACTAAATAGAGAAGATGCTTTTCTCAGCTCTAAACATAAATGTTTTGAAATTTATAAAAAAAAAAATTATGAACAAACCAAAACTGTACATATGTAATCACTAATAATATGTATATCTTGAACATGGAAATGATAATTTAAAAGTTGTAAACTTGTAAATAATATGATTTTTTTATTCTATTAAAGCGATAAGCTCTTATTAAAAGAGCATTGTAAACAAAAGCAATGATATAAGTAGCAAAGAGATTCCTTTAAACACACTATGAAGATGTGTCAGAGGCAAGGTGGTGGCCACTTGAATTTTTTTTTTAATTATATAAATCTAGCAGAAAATGAGTAACTTATTATAATACAATGTAATAATAAACAGAGCCTGAAATCATTATTCTTACATAAATTCAAAAATTTATTCTTTTTTTTATGAATTTTAATATTTGGTTATTTTTTAATGTAGATAACTTATTGAACTTTTTTTTCTTTTTTTTTTTTTTTTTTGTGGAGATTATTAGGACTAAATTCATAGAAAGGTCAGCATGATGGCATGATGTCTCATTTTCAGCCTTCTAAGTTCACATTGGCGGCAACGACAGGACAAAATCAGTGAAGATGGTATTTGGGTGCTCAGTTATGTGTTGATAAAATTTCACATATCCTTCTTTCACCACATATGGTATATTTTGATCACAGTGAAGTAAGTTATGTATATATAAAGGTGAATTGATGATAATTCATAGAACAAAATTTTGGTGGACTTGGATTTTTTTTTTCTCATTAAGAGTGACTTGCCCCAGGAAAGGTGGCGCATACTCCAAATGGGATGGAAAAGTGATAGGTATAAAAACCTTTTGTTGACGAGTGAAAATGAAGAACTCTTGTCAAAAAGACTTTAGAAGAGGTTCACCCAAAAGTCTTTTCAATCGATATGTATTGAATATTTAAATTCACTAATTTCGTGGTCTGCTTGACCAAGTAATATATTATACTTAATTAAGGTTAGTTGAGATAAAAAAGTCAATGGCACAAGCGGGATTCAAATCTCGAGTTGAAAAATGGCAAAAAGGAGGGAAAATTCAAAAAGGTGAGGTTGAGATGGGATGTCCTAGTGGATCGAGGTCACGATAGCTCAAATGGTAGAGTAGCGGCATATCAAGCCGAAGATTGTGGGTTCGAATCCCGCTCGTGCCATTGACTTTTTTATCTCAACTAAAAACCTTAATTAATTATAATGTATTGAATATGTCGTAAAATGTGATGCCTAAATATTTGATGGTATTAACTTCAGATATCCAAGCTGCATCCATTACTATCAGTGTCATTTCATTAGTTTCTGTGAAAGGTGAATCTACAAATAGGGAAGACTTTTGGGGATTTAACTTTTACATGCCATTTTTGAGTCCCGTCATGTTTTAATTTTTTAAGTTGCTTCTTTTGAAGAAAATGATAAAAGTGGTCTGGCCAATCCTTCAATATTTTCATTAAATAAATTTATATTTCCATAAGAAAATAATAAATATACAATAATTTTTGGCCACTTTGGCAAAGGGTAAAACACAGCAATACCTTCCTACTAGTCAACTTCAATATGTAAATAATGTTTAGATATTAATGATAAGTATAGTGTAAAAAAAGATCATGATGATGACGTAAAAATTGTTGAAATGTTGAACGTCACTGATCAGGGATTGAGATATTTAATTTAATAAAATAAGAAACTTATTAAGAATTGTACAAAATAAGTGTAAATATCAATTTTTAAGGAGTGAAGTTATAGAATTATTAAACAAATAATAGAAGTTTTTTACCACTTAGATCTTCCTTTATCTGACTAAAATATCTTATCAAGCTTGTGTATATAATAAAATGAATGTATAAATTAATTTGTAAATACTCATCTATAAGTCAGTCTAAACAAAAAATAATACCATAAAATCTCCAAAAATTCTGATAAATAGAAAAAGAATATTTAAAAATGGTCAATTTTATGCTTAATGTTTTACACTTTACCAGAATCTATTGGAAAATTATTAGAAGATGCCAGCTTTAAAAAAGTCGACATTTGCGAATGGATATTAAAATATTATAAACTTTTCTGAAAAAGGTTGTAAGTTAGTCGCCTCTTCTTGGCAATATAAATATTATATTATAAAAAGAAACTAGTTGTCTGTTAATTACACAAAAATTGTTGTCTAATAGAATAAACAAAAATAGTGTTTATATTTTGAAAGACAATTGATAAAAAGCTTAAGCTTTTTAAATAGTTTTGTACTCATATACAAAATTTGTATTTATTTAATATTCAAGTAAATCAATTTCAATCAAAGTTATATTTATCAAAAAGTAAAATTATATTATTTGTGAAATTGGGTTTTTAGCTAAAAAACCTTAGAATTTGATTTTTTATTACAAATTTTCCAATGAGTTCAATCAAAAATAGGAGCTTTCTTAGAAACAATATTAGTTAAACTAATCCTACTTATTTTTCTAATGTGAAAGACGAAATTATTTTTTAATAGTTCCAATTATTAGCGATCGAGTGGGAAGACCCAAGAGTTACCATTTTTCACTGTTACCTACAACTTCATTGTGATATCCAACTGTACACTTCCTTCATGTAAATATGTCTCTCAATATGATTTGTACATAACCATTAAACTTGTACATGAGGAAAATAAACATAACTATGCTAATGTATTGTTTTACCCCAAATTCCAGTATAAATTTTAGAAATATTGCAAATATAACCTGATCATGATCATGGAATAAGTAGTAAATTTTTTTTCTTGGATATGACACTGATTTTATGGCCAGCACTGCACCCAGAGGAAAATTGGTAAGAGAAGCAAGCCAATACTGGCACTTAATGTATTAAACATTTTAAAAGGAGGATTTTGAACTTACTGGGAAGAAAGGTTATGAGTCTGTAGGAAAATATGTGATTGTGAGGTTTCCAAGCTTTAGGAATGAGAATGATGATGGAATAATTCCAAAAGAGAGTAAATTGACTGGTGTGTATGTATTGTTGGTAAAAACGTAAATAAATATTAATTTTTTTTTTAAACATGCATGTTAATTTTGTTTTTGTGTTTTGAAAAAGTTTAAACTCATTCTCAAGTCTCAAAATAAAATGGAGCTGTTAAGTATCAACTCATACTAACAATATTATTAAAAATACCAAAAGAAATGAGATATTTTGTGTGGTCTGCAGAGTGATGAATGCATAATTTTGTCGTTACCAATCATTGTGGTCTGCGTTCTTTGTTTTCCTATGTTGGTTGCCAGGTATGTTTTAACATTAACATAGAAACGTTTCTGACGGGCCAATACAGCGAGGATTGCAGAAATAATTATGATAAAATTCACTATTTTTCGTGGTCCGCTTGACCAAGTAATAGACACTTAGAGGTGGAATACCGGCGTATCAAGCCGAAGGTCGTGGGTTCCAATCCCGCTCGTGACACTGACTTTTTTATCTCAACTTAAAACCTTAATTAACTGAATTGTATTATGATAAAAACTGATACTGCTATTTTTGTGGTGTTTTGAAATTTGTCACATTAATTTGAAAGCGATGAAACAAAATAAATCGATAAATTTGACATATAAAATTAAAAACTCAAGAAAAACGTGTATTTTTTAACTTCCGTTACATACTTTAAAAAATTTATAAACAAATTTGGAATAATGTCTTTATTTTTATGACTAAATTTGTCAGTTAAAATTCAAACAAAATGATTATTGGATTTCTTTATGAACTATTATTTCCATTTACTTCTTTTTTTATCAAATGGTGTTAGTGAGAAACATCAGGCAATAAAAATATGAAACTTAGAGAATGAAATGCTGCTTCATCCTGGAAAAAAAATATAATGAAAATTATGTAACATTAGAAAGGGTTTTTACATTACTTTCGATCGTGTTGGTGGGCAATTTTCACTATCTCCATGAGAAAGCCCGGCCCTCCTGTGTTCAAAGCAGCTTTACAAGTTGCGTGTACAAGACCATTGTAATGATTGACCTGGAGCGATTTCAGTCTCAGTTTTCTTTCGATTTGTTTTAAGCCTGTCACGTTGAAAGTGACAGCGGAGCATCTGAGTTTCACCCTCGCCAGGTCTATGTCAAGGTTCTGCTTTTCAGGACACTTATGTCTCTTGGCTCCCTCCTTCTTTTGCAACATCTGCTCTTTTAAACTCCTCTGGTAAAATACATATGCCCTGTAGACACTAATAGCCACGACAATCGCAAACGCTGCTATGTGAGTCATTTGTACCATTGACATTGACATCTTTCATTGGAAACAGCTTAACTTCTTTCATTTGTGTTTCTATTTTACAGCAAAGTACTTTACGATCAAAACCACCATTATATTTTGTGTATGCTTACAGTCTCCAGGTAGATTTAGCCAATTTGGGTTATTATAAAATTCTGAACTTCTTTTTTAAATACACAAAACTATACAAATAATAGAAAATTTACAAGAGAGTAATATTAAAATAACCTGAATTTTGATACATATTTTTCTTTTGCTACCGTTTCCATGGAGACAAGCTATTAAAGCTTAAATTTTTATGTATTTAATTTCTGTGTAAACATTTAAGATTGAAATTGGACACTTTTTTAATTTTAAAACAGCTAAACAATAGGGGCAGGCAGCAAAATCTTTAAATTAAATAAGGAATTAAATTCACTAATTTCGTGGTCCGCTTGACCAATTAATATATTACAATTGATTAAGGTTTTTAGTTGAGATAAAAAAGTCAATGGCACGAGTGGGATTCGAACCCACGATCTTCGGCTAGATACCCTGCTGCTCTACCACTTGAGCTATCGTGACCTCGATCCACTCGGACACTAACTTCCCATCTCAACCCCACCTTTTGGTGGAAAAATGGCAAAAAGGAGGGAAAATTCACACAGAGAGAGCACAGGGCCGATGGGAAATGCAAGGTTGACACACAACACTTACATTTGGACCAATGCTTGTGTATGTATCTGGCATGGAAAGAAAGATTGTTCGATGTATCCTACCTAATTAAAGGATGCAATTCTTTGGCTCCATACAGGGAACGCGTGGGAACCTGATTTGAGAAATGTGCTTGAGCGTGGCAGCGAGTATTTGGGTCCCCTGTCCATATTCTTTGAGAAAATGGGGTTGTTTTTTTGCTTTTTTTATTTATAGTTCTCATAGTTTTTGTGGCCCTAGCGTACACTTGACATATTTCGTCCACTTTTTCTTGCATAGAAAATGACAACATCTTAATTATTAAATTCACTAATTTCGTGGTCCGCTTGACCAATTAATATATTACAATTAATTAAGGTTTTTAGTTGAGATAAAAAAAGTCAATGGCATGAGCTGGAAAAAGGAGGGAAAATTCAAAATGTGCGGTTGAGATGGGAAGTTAGTGTCCGAGTGGATCGAGGCCACGATAGCTCAAGTGGTAGAGCAGCGGCGTATCTAGCTGAAGATCATGGGTTCGAATCCCGCTTGTGCCATTTTTTATCTTGTGACTTTTTTATCTCAACTAAAAACCTTAATTAATTGTAATTAAAAAAAAGCTTGAACACCGCACTCACTTCATCATTCATCATTTCTATTAACTTGATTTTTATATATTAATCAAGGTTTTATGTTTTTTAACGTTTATTAATCGAGTCTTTGTCTAAAAAAGTAAATTACTAAAGAAAATGAAAAATAATAAAACAAATTTTAAAAAATAAATAAAGGACAGATAATTTTTTTAGATTTTTAATTACCATTTCAATATCGCGTATTTCCTTCTCTTGTCTTAATTACATCTCGAAGACGCCTCGGCATGCTTTCTACCAGTCTGGAAATGTCTCTTTCCTGGAGGTTAGCCCAATCTTCACGAAGTGTCCTTTCAAGATCATGGAGTGTATCAGGAAGTGATGGACGTTATCTTATTCATCTTTTGAAGATATTCCATAAATGGTCAATGGGGTTTAAGTCTGGAGAACGGGCTGGCCAGGCTAAGACCCTGATGTTATGCTGTTGAAGGTATGTTTGTACTATGCAAGTGACAGGTGGACGGGCATTATCACGCATAGAATAGGAAACAATAAACAAAAAATTGATGAAACGTCGTTGAAAAACATTAAGAAAAATATTGGCCCAAGGTAAGAGCACTGAGGGACCCCGGACAGAATTTGAGGTGAAAACAAGGTGGTTTTTTTGGAGATCCTCGGAGAAATAAACAGAATGTATCATTACAAAAGCATAATAAAAAACAAACAAATAAACAAACATAATACAGAATAAACGTGTAGTGTGAAAAGAACCAACCAAATTAAATCTTGGCTTTATAATATCTTAACTACAATTTAAAAATTTTGAAATTATAAATTGTTTGACTTCTTTGTAGTTTTCGAAATTTTGAATAATGATCCTCTCTTTATAAAAAAAAAGTGCCATATTTAATGAAAAATCATAATAGTGCGTAGTCTTTACATTGAAAAAATTTGAGTTAGCCAATGAATTGTTTCTTGTGTTGTATTCACGGATGTGATTATTTACGAGATTATTTTTATATCATTCAATTAATTAAGGTATTTAGATAAGACAAAAAAGTCAATGGCACGAGCGGGATTCGAACCCACGATCTTCGGCTTGATACGCCGCTGCTCTACCACTTGAGCTATCGTGGCCTCAATCTTAATTATTACACAAATTATTTCAGACGTCTTTAATCAAAAGCCAAAAGTGAACTAGATAAAGAAATATAATATATTGAATTATTTGTACATTTATTACAACAATAATGAACTATAAACAACTGAATTGCTCTTAGGTATTAATTCTCCTCCTAACATAAGCAAACAACTCACAAAGTATATACTTTTGTTTTAATAACATTGAAAGTGTGAAGTCTGAATTGAAATATATCTGAAAATACACAACCAATTTAATTGTTCTTAGTGTTATTTTATACACTAAAAATCTAGTTTTTGAAAGCGTATCAAAATTAGTCTCATTGATACTGGGTTATTATGACATTAAAAATTATACAAGAGGAATTAACATCCATATAAATTTGCTATACGGTCTGTGAGTTTATTGACGTTTGCTTGCAGTTTTATGAAATGCAAAGATAATGTCTGACAAATAGTAGTCTAGGTTGATCAAAGATCATAAACTTTTGGACAAATACTTTTATGTATGATTGTTCTGATGAGTCAGCCCCGCTCCTAAGCTCAATTGTATTTTTCATGCGATATGGCAGTCTCTATACGACCGCTACATCATACCATTCTATTATGTAGGATCTTTAAGATCGTTTCACCCTGACAATGACCTTAAAATAGTCTGAAAGATTGGTAAATAACTATTTATTTATTTTTAAACCCACTTGACAAACCAAATCCAGATTATTCATAAGTAAAATAGTGGTTAATAAATGCTTTAATTACTCTTTGAACCCAAATTGAAATAAAACAGACAAATTAGATTATTCTAAAGGTAAAAAATCAAAAAATTGAAAAATTATACTGTATGGCCAGTAAACAGAGTTATAGACTGTGAATACATTCAGAATAAACTTCAAACATAGCTTGCAATAAATGCATTTCTTCCTTTTCTTTTTGTTGGATTTTGATGGGAGCCTGAATTATAAAAACTTCGTAAGTTGGAAAAGCTTACAATTAAGCTTAAGATAAACAAATTATTTATTTTTTGCTAATAACAAGAGGCAAACCTGTAAGGATCCGAACTAATATATAATAAAAATTGTTTATATTTATGTAAATAATATAATGTTGGGAAATGCTGTGGTAAATGCATACAGACTGTGAAAACAAATATGTGTAATGGATAGGCAAAGTATTCAGCATTGTTGCGTGCACATACTCACATGTTAAACTGCAAAATGTATAAAAAATGTTTATTTTTAATCATTATATTATTATTTACAATTGTAAAGAAAGAAACGGATTTCATAAGTAGTCGAATTAATTGTTTTTCTTCTTTCATAAAGAGAAACTTGATAGAAATGCCCATTGCTTGACCATGAAAAGGTCACATTTTCAAATTATCTGCAACGTTTTATATTCTTTTTTCTAACAATGGTTATGCAACCTTTTTTTATACTTTTTTCACCCAATTCAATGAGCCATTCTCGTATAGATTTATGTTACATAACTAACCGGTTGTCGGTTGGAAACTGAACAAAAAAAAAATCAGTTGTCAACAGCAGTCTTCGAATTTTGGCGTTCATTCCTACTGAAAGAGTGCACTGTTTTCAATCGTTAAAACAGCCAAGTCAACTTCTCGATACTATTTTCCATCCAAGCAGAGCACAATTTGGATTTTTAGCCTGTAAAATTATTTTCCTCTTTTAACAGATTGTCCCAATTGTAATAGTTTTTGAAATGGCTTTGAGGCACCTCACCAACAGCGCCCTTCTCATGGTAAAATCCATTATTTAGCTTATTAACCTAGACCGGCTTATTATTCAAGGATTTTTATCTATTTTCCAGGGTAGAAAATCTCTCTCGACGACGATTTTCAAACAGGCGACTGTCCAGGGGATAAACTTTGCAAGAGCATTTTCAAGTAAGGCCATTTGCTCTTAAGTTCTTAATAGAATAATTTCTACCAACTGACCATTTGTGTTTATTTATTTTTGTTTGTAGAAAGTCAGGTATTTTAAAATTGTCATTCAGTTGGGCACAAGTTGGCCAATTCTCTGATATTCTTATCTGAAGAAGACTTCTATATTCACTCGCAGTATTCCATGAAGCCCTCTTTAATATAGAAATTGACAATTTAGGTATCTGCAGTGCGTTCATTACAATATAAACCAAAAATTTAAGGGTTCACTCTTTCCCTTAGAAGAAGACATTTTATGGTGTGAGATCTGCTGCTGTCCGTAGAAACTGACATTTTAGGATATACTGCACTATGCTCCTTACCATACAAACCAAAAATTTAAGGGTCCACTCTTTACCTTAAACGCAGACATTTTAGGTTTTATGAGATTTACTGTTGTCCATAGAAACTGAAAATTTAGGTATCTGCAGTATGCTCCTTACCATACAAACCAAAAATTTAAGGGTCCACTCTTTACCTTAAAAGCAGACATTTTAGGTTTTATGAGATCTACTGTTGTCCATAGAAACTGAAAATTTAGGTAACTGCAGTATGCTCCTTACCATACAAACCAAAAATTTAAGGGTTCACTCTTTACCTTAAAAGCAGACATTTCAGGTTTTATGAGATCTACTGTTGTCCATAGAAACTGAAAATTTAGGTATCTACAGTATGCTCTTTACCGTACAAACCAAGAATTTAAGAACCTTTTACTTTACAATCAGACAGTGTATGCAAGATGAATTTCCTATCATGAAAATCAAAACAGAAAATTGTTATCAGTGTTCTATTGTTTGATTTCTTTTGGAGATGGAGATTCTCAATGGAACCAGTTGTCTCGAACTTACTTTCACTATGCAAGAAAGTGTAAAAATTTGGTCTAATCTGCTCAGGAAATTTTTGTGCGACTGTGGGCAGCTTCATGCCCCATTTTCCCACACTCCTTGTACGTACATTTGGTACATTTTCCACTTTTTTTTGCTAGAAAATCGCCAAAAGAAGACTAGATAAAGAAATATAATAAATTGAACTAGTTGATACAATAACAATGAACATTAAACAATTTTATTGGCTTTTAGGTATTAATTTAAAAATTTTTTTTTTTTTTTGCCTTACTATTTCAGTATTGACTTCAGTTATTAATATTATTCTCCTAACATGAGCAAGAATTTATTTTGGTTTGAACAACACTGAAAGTTGAAGTCTTTGAATTGAAATATCTCCAAAAATATGGAACAATTTAATTGTCCTAGAATTTAAAATTGTCCTAATAAAATTTATTTTGTTAAAAAATCTAGTTTTTGAAAATCAAAACTTGGTATGACTCATTGATACTCAATCACCTATTAGTATGACATTAAAAATTATTATTAAAAACAAGAGGATTTAACGTCCATCTAAATGTGCAATATGATCTGCGAGTTTATTGAAATTTGCTTGCTGTTTCTTGAATACCAGGATGATGTTTGACAGGAAGTAGACTACATTGATCAAAGATCTTAAACTTTTGGACAATTGATACTTTTATGTTTGATTGTTATGGACCTTTGTATTTTGTTTCAAGTCTTGCACCATTTTAATATTTGTAATTGTAACACGCCTTATTTTAGCAAAGGATTTTTTATACTTTCTAAAGCAGAAAATTAAGTTTAACCATGCTATTCCATACTATTTTATATTAATAAATATAAATATTTGAATAGTGTTGGCTAGTTAAGTTGATCATTTAAACAATAATATTGAGTTAATCGTATAATGAATAGTTTTGCTGAAAATTAAATCGAAGATTTTATTTACAGGTCACAGTGCATCAAGACTTTTTTCTTCCCTTAAAAGTAGAATTAAAAAAATTGCTCCCAAACAAATTACAATAAAAAAAGAAAATGACTGTATATTTTGTATGTATATGTAGATGAATTACAGCGTGAAAGCTGATGTTGCAAATTGTTTAAGTAGTTTATTAGTTTTGTTTTTTTAAATAATTATTTTTCCTCTTTAAGCTGGTGGGCCAAAGGTGCAGTCCCTTGCACCGCACTTCTCTGGTACGGCCGTGGTACAAAATGAATTTAAAACCATCTCTCTTAATGATTTCTCTGGAAAATATCTCTACTTGTTTTTCTACCCGATGGACTTGTAAGTACAAATGTTGATAAGGTTTGGTCATTTGTTGAAAAAAAAAAAAAAAAAAAAATTGTTTCAGTACTTTTGTCTGTCCGACTGAGATCATCGCCTTCAGCGATCGCATGGCTGACTTTGAAAAATTAGAAACAGCAATCGTCGGTTGTTCCTGCGATTCACATTTCAGCCACTTGGCCTGGATTCAAACTCCTAGAAAGGTGAGGCTGATGACAATTCAATATTTAATTGAAAATATTTTATCCATTTTTTCCTTCAGAAAGGAGGCCTGGGTGAAATAAAATACCCTCTTTTGGCTGACTTCAAGAAAATTATTGCAAGGGATTACAATGTTCTTCTTGAAAATGATGGTGTACCTCTAAGAGGTTCATTTTTAATTGACCCAAAGGTAAGGTTTTAAACTTTTAGACTTTTTTAATTATACATATTTATTATTAGATTTAATAAAAAATAAAATTTTTCCCAGGGAGTTATTAGACAGGTGACCATTAATGATCTGCCAGTTGGTCGCTCAGTTGATGAAGTGTTGAGGTTGATTAAAGCATTCCAGTTTGTAGATACTCACGGTGAAGGTATGGCAGTGCTGATTAATTAAAACCAACGTAGAATGTACATAAATTTTTGTCTTTTTTCAGTCTGCCCAGCCAATTGGAACCCGGACAAACCGACAATTAAACCAAACCCGAGAGATTCTATAGAATACTTCAATAAAGTTAACCCATCTTAGACATGCTGAATATAATTTAACATGGGCGAGTTAACGTGTAGAGTGTGAATGAGTACAATAAAATCTTTATATCTCAATGGAAAATATATTAGAATGAATGTACATCTGTAAGCCATTAAATGGTTTTATATTTTGCAGTAATGTTGTTTTATTGAGAACCCTTTTGAAATTTACTCATTATCTGCTGAAATAATTTAATTTTTTTTGTAATTAGATCATTTATTGCACAAAATATACTTTGTTTAATTTATTATGTTATTTAAGAAGAACAAAATCAAAAAGCCTCTTGCTTACCTTAAGGTTGCATGAAACTTAATGTGTATTTAAGAAAAAAAATCAATTTTATTAAAAGATAATTATTCAGAAATCGTGAGATGCGGTCTGGTAGAGAATATTTTTTATGAAAAAATGAAGAGAACGGTAGGTTTCAGAAAAACATTTTCTTTATCGTGCCAACGTTTTGATCTTTGTCGAGATCATCTTCAGCGCCTGAGATTTATAAACATTGTTTAAATTTAGCAAATACATGTAAGATGTGGAAAAAAGTGAATTTATACAATGCAAAATATATTTTTATATTCAATCAAAGAATTTCTACTCATGAAGTTTTTCGGAGGGTCTAAAGAAGAGGTCAACACAGAGAAAAAAACTTCCTTTCAGTTTTCGCCAAGCTTTCGACAGTTTTTATACTGTCATCTTCAGGGCCTGTTTTATTATCATATAAAAAACAACAAAGACATGAAAAAACAATTGCACAAAAATTGAAAATTTGATATATCTTACTTTAACCTTAATGGGGAATAAAAAGGAACATGGTGTCGTGGGCACCGAAGTAGTTTTTTTTTTCATGTCTTTGTTGTATTTTTTATGATTGTTTTTTTTTTTTTTGATAAATTTTTTATATGATAATAAAGCAGGCCCTGAAGATGAGAGTATAAAAACTGTCGAAAGCTCGGCGAAAACTGAAAGGAAGTTTTTTTTCTCTGTGTTGACCTCTTCCGTAGATCCTCTGAAAAACTTCATGTTTCCAGCAGGTCGATAACCCAGCTCATCGTTATATTTCTACTCACTCAAAGTGTTTGTCTTCTGTGTAATTGTGCCATTCTTGTGTGTCGTGTTGAGAGTGCCAGAGATATTGCTGTTTTAAGTTTATATATGTTCAATTTTGAAGGGGGAGGGGAAGGAACCATTACCAACGTTTTTGTCCTTTGTCGACTCTTTTCACCTCAAAGAAGCCGACTCCTTATACAAAAATGTCTTTCTATACCGACTTCCTTCCCCACCCCTTCAAAATCCAACGTATATAAACACAAAATAGCAAAATCTCACTGGCACTCTCAGCACGACACGCATGAATGGCACAAATACAATTAATATATTACAATTGATTAAGGTTTTTAGTTGAGATAAATTAACTTTTAATTGATCAAGCGGACCACGAAATTAGTGAATTTAATGAATTAAAATGAAGTATACTTCACTAAAGCTCTCCGTGGCCATTTCATTTGTCGCCGAGAATCCAATCCGATTACACGACATTTGAAAAATGGCAAAAGGGAGGGAAAACTCAAAAGGTGGGGTTGAGATAGGAAGTTGGTGTCCGAGTGGATCGAGGTCCCGATAGCTCAAGTGGTAGAGCAGCGGCGTATCAAGCCGAAGATCGTGGGTACGAATCCCGCTCGTGCCATTGACTTTTTTTTCTTTAACTAAAAACCTTAATTAATTGTAATAAAAAATATATTTTTCATTGTATAAATTCACTTCTTTCCACATCCTACATGTATTTGTTAAATGTAAACAATGTTTGTAAATCCCAGGCCCTGAAGATGATCTCAGTAAAGATCGAAACGTTGGCACGTTAAAGAAAATGTTTTTCTGAAACCTACACCACACCATACCGCATCTCACGATTTCTGAATAATTATCAACTAACGGCCACTACTCACCACACATTATTCCTGATTTTTATGATGGTTTAGAGAGATGATTAGGGATGGTCAGCGTGGTGGTTTTGAATAATTGCGAGAAAACAATAACAGTGTAAATCTGACTTGACAACGCTCCGACCAAATCGCTGGATCTAGAGGGCTGAAATTTCGACAGTGCATGCCTATAATGACATGAATAGCCGCCACGAAAGGATTTTTTGAAATTACATCCCTAAGGGGATCATATGGACAATTTTTTACCATGTACATGCCGAAGTGAACTGAAGAAGAGAAGAATTAGAGAACGAAACATTATATTGGAATGCCTTACTAGCACTCATTAGAAATGAAGAAATCACCGCATTAAAAAGGTACATTAAAACAGAGTCCAGCGTGGACGAAGTCGCAGTTAAAATCTATTCTACTTATACAAAAATCCATCAGCGATCGAAAACATCAAACAACGTAATTCAAACTATCCCCATGGACACAAAACGGCAACACAAATATGTACATGACAATAGACTAAAAACAGTACAACTGACAAAAGAGAAATACAAAAACAAAGAATGAATCCTTAGCCCAATAATCAACTACAACAAAAATAAGATCAATAAAATAATGAAAATATCACGACAAGAAACAAACACTTAATGCCATACTTTATGCCCGTACTAGATGAAACGTACAAACTATCATAATCAGGCATTACAGGAGCACTGAAGACGTTGAACCCAGACGGAAAATTACTGTGAAAAACAGACATAAACCAACCCACTTGGCAAAAAAAAGCAATATGCCTTGACTTGCGAATGCGGAGATACAGATTTCAAACAGACACGACGAAAAAGAAAATATCGATGCAAAGAACTTATAAAACGTTTTGGTACACTTTTTATAAAGGATGGAGAGATATTTTTCATTTCTTTGTGTGTTTAATGCTCGAACTTCGGATCTTTTGGACACTGTTTGTGCTGGATAAAGAAAGAAAATATAAAAAAATTACGTAAAAGGAAAAACTCACTTTTTCGGTGGGGACAAGTGTGAACCACTCACTGTAGGTCGTCTCGCAAGGTTTGTGCTCCAGGTGCAACGCCGAAGGAAGACCTATCGCTCCAAAAATGTGGAAATAGGATTAGAAAATGACTGGAAAAATCAAGAAAAACTTTGGACATGAAAATAAAAGGTAAAAGAGAAGAGGTGCTCACTGGGCAAGGTTGGTACGAAAGAGTGGTTTAAACCAGAGAGCACGGGAGGTGCTTTACAGGTTCTTTACACGAACCAAGAGTTTCCTTGGAGAGGTTGAGGATAGGTCTAAAAGATCAAAGTGCAGAACCGACTCTGCTCTGCCCAAATAGGGACAATACAATTGAAAATCAAACTACGATCACACCTTTCACAAAGCACGAAACACTGCACGCGAACAAAAAGGTCGAAAATGAATATATTCGCCAACTTAGAAATATACAAACGTAACACATTTAACACTAAAAAAATTAACACACAAATAATCAACATTTCACACACATAACAAATATAAAACACTGTAACAAACAATAAACATATCAACCGTAATAATGCCTTAAGCTTACCCGATGCTACCCGACGCAAATCCAAACTCCGATTTTCCATAAGGTTGCATTACCCCCGTGCACATTTACCCGATGCTATGCCACGCTAACCTACCCGACGCTCTGCGATCCCCACTGTCCAGATTTTCGTCGGGCCGCACGAGTACAGTCGAAGACAAAAGAACCGGACACTCATATTTTTATTCAAACTACATGTATTATTGTCGTTATATTAATTACAACACACTTATTTTAATATAAACCAAATAATGATAATTCAGTTGATGTTGGGTATATCTCTTTATCAATTATTTTAATTTGTGTGAAATCACTGGGAAATACATTATAATATAGAACGTGAAAAGATTGATCATATTTTTATCATTTTTTTCACCATTTTTTAACTTCCTTGAATTAATATCTAACAATCTATTAACCAACGTCTTTGGGAAGTTGTTATTTCTTAAAATTTGCTCGCTTTTTAACTTTGATCCAGAAGCATGTGTTGCTTAGTGCAAAAACTATATATATCAATTGTATAAATATGTTTTTCATAATGTGAAATTAACATAGTCCCTGATGATGGCCTTAAAATGGTCAAAAGCTTGGGTGTAACATCTGAATTTGCTTTTCTTCAGCACCACAACTTGATCCAGAGCATTCTTGACTAAAAGTAATATCTAATACAGTTCATTTTTATTTATGTATTAATATAGCTGGGCAAGAGGCCCATTTACAAAGACCCAGCAACAATAATAAATCTATAGTTATAAAAATGCTAAGTCTATTAATATATTTTTTATTTTTTACAACAGTATTTATTCAAAAAATAATTAAGACAAAATTTGACACTAAGTGGCACTAGGGTGTGAAGAATCACCCAGTGGTGACACTCTACTAGGGTCTAAGCGCTATGACTCGCTGCCCAACAAGTCCCGAGGCCACTGCCGTTTCAATCTCCTTGGCGGATTATTGGAATGGTTTAAAACTAAGGATTTGGGTGTGATAAAAGGGAGTCTGGAATTTTATGTATCGGGATTTTATGATATCTTTGACAAACGGAACTTTGATGTCATTGGGGATTTTGAGGTTAGTTAAAGAAGGGATTTAGTATTTTGTGGAGGGTTTTGGATTCAGAAATCTGTATGTGATGATAATTAGAATGTTTGGTTAAACCCCATAATTCAATGCCTAATATCAGTTGTTTATTGTGAAGCATCAGTTTTGATCATCTGTCTAGTAGTCGTGAGATTGTTTTGTAGCATCTAGTCAGTTCCTGCTTTTTAAGGCTTTTATGGGGATTCCAAATTAGTGTTTAGTCGATGTTCAGCCCAAGGTAGTGGAAAATGCATACAAGAAGGGGTGTGTGATAAAAGGTATAGTGGTGGCATTATTCCACCTCAGTTGGTAAAGGTTACCCTGTGTGTTTTTTTGTATATTTTTACACTCCTTACCCATCCTGACATATCCATTTACACTTTTGCAGATTACTGCTATCCTCCAATAAAGATCCCTAGGTTCTAGTTTGAATGGTGAGCCGGTAAGAAGCAATGCGAGAGGCTGGGATCTTTATTGGAGGATAGGATAGCAGTATCATCTGCAAAAGTGTGAATGGATGTATGAATGAGTAGGGAGTAT